ACACAAAAATAAAAAAGTGTATATTTACCCAGTTGAGATTGATTGCCATCTGCCATTTGAACCAAGGCATTCTCCTTTTTATTGAACAAAATCTTCACTCTTTGTACATCACCATATACCCCTTAGGGAAGCCAGCAAAGAAAAAAGCAGGTATTCAGAAAGAAATTTGACTTATCTCAAATTCATCCAAGACCCACTCAAACCCCCAGTCTGTTTTCACTCCACTTAAAAAGTTGCTTTATTCTGCTGAGGATAAATCTGATCAGCAACAGAAAACTGGAGCAATTCTTTGGAGTACTGTACTTATAAGCCTACTGGGGAGCACCCAACGAAATGCCAACTGCCGCCAGCAGAGCTGAGATGACCATTTCACATGCTATCTGTTTCTGACCTGCCCAACCGACATGCAAAGCAATCAAAACCATGCACAACAGGTAAAATGAAACTAAAAACAGCACAAATTTCGTAACTGGAGCATTCAACCAACAGCAAACCCTCCCTCAACCACACTTGCTTTCCCCAAAGTAAAATCTCAAAATGAAAAAAGGTAATAAAAAAAGTGTGAATGATAACATACCGAAAAGAATAAAGAGGCATTGGGGTGTAACTCTCTTTAGAGAACAGCAGAGCAAGGCAGCGGAGGGACAGGGAAGAGGTAAGGAATCGGAGGGGAGAGTGAAGGTTGTGCAAATCGTCGACAACGAAGGAAAGGTAGAGTCCCCGCAGGAAATGGCGAAATTGGTTGATGGATGATGAAGTTTTCAAGATGGTTAATATTGAAGGGCAAGTTGGTTTCCGAAGAGCAGGAAGGTTTTTTTTTTTTGAGGGGGGCATTTTTATATATATTTATATATATTTGTTTCAAGCAACAACAGGAAGCAGAAGTACCGTGCAGTCAGTTGGCAAAGAAATTCCGGATCAGGGAGAAGGGGAGGAAAAAAAATATTGAGGGATGGGGTGGAGAGAAAAGAAAAAAAGTAGCAAAAAACAGGTCAGTAAATACATAAAAGAAATATGTCGTGTTCCATCAGTAAAGATTTATAGGTTTCTAAAACATACAACACTTTCAACAGAAAAAAACTAGTTAATAGGTTTTTTTTAACCTACTGGAACACAACAATAAAAGAGGAGCACTTTACTTAAGTAAGATATAACTAAGAACGAGAGGCAGTATTGCAACAGAGTGACTAAATAGGGCATGATGGTAAGGTTCACATCCTGGGCATGACAATGCCAAGAAACAGAGGCAGAGGCCCATTTAAAGCTCCGAAGAAAAACCTGTCAAGGACACCCATCAGCTTTCTAAAACAGAAGTGATTACTTAGTTCTACTTTTAAACAACTCTGGAGAGGTTTTCAAGCAACAGGTGTGAAAAGGTTCTCTTCAATGTCAAAAGTTCTAAGCTTCTCTCCAAAATCTGGTGGGAACCAACTATTGTGAGAGACGTAAGGCCTCATGTAGTCATCAGTTTTAAATCTGTATCTTTCTCTTAAGATAGTTACCATCTGCTGAAAGCGAAACAATCTGGCTTTAAATTCAGATTAATCTGCCATCAAATTTATACCAAACTGAAGAAAAATCCAGCTTTAAACTGGATGAGGGCTGGATTCTTCTTTCCCCACTGGATATTTAGGTAAAGCTCCAGCTATGACAATGTTGCTGCCAGACTTTCTCCTTATAGATTCTTGTACCTGAGAAACAGTGTCTCAAGAATACCGAACATAAGTAAATGGGTGGCACAAGTGTCGAGTGGTCTTTCTAAAACCCAAAAGTGTGAAGCAGCATTGTGCACACTGCAAATGAGATACAGCCTTGATACCCTAAAAAGTCCATATACCAACTGACAGGCACACTTTGGTAGCACTTTAGCTTGAGACTGCAGGCAACGTTTATAAATCAAGAGTAATCAATACAAAACCCGACAAAAGTCTGAGAATCCATACTAGTCTAGATCTCCTAAGCCACAATTGTTTGCCAGTCTCCTGTCTCTTATATATAGTTTCCAATACTGGCGAAGTGGGAAAGAGGAGATGGAGAGTAAGAGTCCCTCTGGAGAATACTGCCTCTCAACTGTATGCACAGATTAAGTTTCTATAACACTGATTACACAAGCAATGAAAATAAAAAGTTGAAGTCGTTAGTTCAGCTTCACTAGAGATATCGTAGCTTCTAGCCCAAAAGAGAAGCTGGATGAATGAGTAAAATAAACACACAAAGAGGCATGGAATCAGTTGCTCAGCAATACTCACTTAGGCATATCTACTGAGTAAAATAGCCTCAGCATTTTGGTTGCAACATTTCTCAAAGATATACTAACTAAAAACTGCTAGAGAGTAGTTTTCATGCATATTTGAGGTCAGAGGTGCTAAATTTAAGATGCAAAAAAGAGATCCAACCAATTTCATAGTAACTTGTATTTTCAGTACGCTCGTCATGTATTCAGCTCTTTAGAATTCGATTCCAGACATTTATTTTCCCTCTATTTTCAGAAGCACCTGTTTCAACTATCCTTTTCCAATTTTAAAGAATTTACCTATTCATTTTCTGATCTCTACAAAAGGTATTTTTCATTAAAAATGTAGATATCTGATTGCTAGGATAATATAGGATAGAATATGCTTCCGTTCTGTCACAATTTAAGTAAAATCCGTAATAAGTTCATTAGGAATTTCCTATTATGTTACTGAACATGAAAAATAATTGAACAATAGTGCACCTGATGCTACAGTCTTCGCTTAACTTCATTAATTGCTCATTCACTTCAGGAAACTCTGTAGCCATTAATCGGGTGCTTGAATGCTTAATTTTTATTTTGGAAAGAAAATAAGAAAATGCTCAGGGAGAACTGAAACATTTTATTACTGCATCCTCCCTTTACTATTGCAATTATCTAAGCCCCCTCTAGGATCTCAAGTTAGGGGATTTGCTCTATAACTGATCACCCATGTCAAAAATTTTCCTATTAAATCCTAGGAGAGATCTGTTGTCAGAATTCTAGCAATCCATAGGATCCCAGAGGGTCCTGTAATGAGATGAGTATTGCTGGCAAAGTCTCATGTCCTGAAAAGAAGAGTTAGAGTGGATAGGTAAAAACAACAAAATGGATTACAAATGATTAATTTCCTATTAATTTTCAAATTGGTAATTCTTTCATCCATCCCTCTGCAGTGGAGCTTCTTACACAGGTAATGTAAGCAGAAATTTAACTTTTAAGCATAGCTTTAAGCACCAGGGTTCAAGCAATAAGCTCACTGCAGAGGCAAAACTGAATGTAATTTCTACTTCTTCAGTAACCCACTTCAAAGTCCAAGTGGATCTATTGAATTACATCCTTTGTGCAGAAGATCGTTTAACATGCCTTCAAGGTCCATTTTAAGGCAGCCAAATGTTTCAATCAAAAAGGGGAGAAAGTTAAATGGAACTGAAAATGTAAAATTATTTAAGAAGTTAAAGAACAGAATAAGGCACACAATTTTAAAAGAATTTTGGTAAAGGAAAATATATCGATGCACGTCAAAGAAAATACATACTTGGCAAAAGATAAAATGAAGCTAAGCTGGCAAGGGAGGCAAAGATCAAGGCACCCAATAAAGAGGACAGAATGAACACTGTCACTCCAACTGCAGGGTTTGAAAGTTACAACATGCCAGGGGGAGGACTACAGGGTTTCTGCTGTGGTGAGGAAGACCCAAGTAGAGACAAAACCAATAGGGTAAAAAGTACGGCGGAAAATTTCACAATGAAATGGTCTTAAAATTTTGCTTTGGGGAGTGAGAGCAGGTCAGTAAACACTTTGGCTCACACCAAGGGAGGAGCAACGATGTTAAGCCTTCCACCCACAGCCCATCAAATATCCAAACGCAGATGAGTGTGCCTACAGCTATTCTGGACGACAACTTCTAAGGCATACAACTGCCACCACGGTTGAGGGCAATGTATTGTAGTCCACGCCCCTATTTGCTTTTGAATCAGCTGCTGGACTTTGATTTTAGACACTCCATTTCAGGGAGGAAAAAAAAAATCAGCATTTGAAGCTTCAGCACAAGATTTTTGGGGGAAGAAATAGTTCAGAGAGAAGCAAGATCAGAAATTGGAAGGAAGCAAAAAATAAATGAGATAAGTTGGATAGAAAATATTACAAGGCTTCCACTAACCTCTGGGTTCAAATTGCTAACCAGCAGAACGGAGTTCCCTGCCCCGGTAAGGCCGGGAATAGCAAGCCGTCCTGCGGCAGCTGCGGCTGCTGCGGCTGATGGGATAGCCAAAGGAGCAAGTGCTCCATGTACATTTGGAACTGAGAGGCCTGAAAAAATTAAAAAGTATTAACCAGTAGAGAAGTCCTCAGCACATTCCCTGCTACGACTTGCAGTGGAAATTAAGGACCTTTGACCAACATGTTTCTTAAAAGAAGTACTTTAGTGTTATGTATTTTCTTTCATTCAAGGACCCAGAAACCAGATACACTTGAACATTTATGGGCTGAAGCATCTCCAGTTCTGGCATTGCTCAGGACTCTGCTCTCAGCTTCCGACACAGGGAATAAGCCTTGAGGGGCTGCATTTGGCTCTTCTTGGGTGATGTGGGAATCAGACATCTGCTTTTAAACAAGTTCTGCAAAATTTCATAGGCTTATTTAAGCAAAATCACTTGGGGGGGAGGGGGGGAGCAGGAAGGGAGATGACACACAAAGCAGTGCATTTGTACGTTTTTTTCACCAAGGCATGCTGGAAGTGCCTCATTCTTTTTTTTTTATCATGCAGATAAACCATAGCTATGTACATTCCAGTCACTGACAAATGACATCATCCCAATACAGGCATCTAAACATGAACTTATTCTATTGTATCAAAAGCACATAATCCTGAAGGGCACATAAAAAAGTCGTTTACCTCCTTTGTCCATCAGAACAGGGATTATTGTGTGAGAATATGAATAGTTCTGCCTTATTTTATATAGGACCAATGGGAGAAAAAGTATGTATATCTTGCAAGGATTATCAGTGTCTGCTTCAAATATTGCCTTCCAAGCACTACATCCAGCAAAATTTAATAATAAAATCCATCAAAAGTTATTAACAGAAATTTTACACTTGAGACATTAAAATTATTAGAATTCCTACATCAGCTCAAGGTTGACTCAGCCTTCCATCCTTCTGAGGTTGGTAAAAAGAGGACTCAGATTGTTGGGGGCAAGATGCTGACTTTGTAAACTGCATGGGGAGGACTGTAAAGCATCGTGAAGCGGTATATAAGTCTAAGTGCTATTACTATTGTTAAAGTGCCAAATCTCCAATTTAAGACTTTTCAGTCTCTTTCCTTCCTATCAACTATAAAGTCAACATGCCCATGTGCTTTCCTCAAGGTAAAATACATTTTGTTCGGATAGACTGAGATGTTGCCACAGCCCTAGCTATCTAGGCAAACTCTTTTTAATTTATTGCCTTTATGGTGTCCGTACTATAAATCAACCTGAATGTTTTTATCTTACTAGGACAAAATGTTCCAAGCAAATGTTGAAACAAAAATGAGATGTAATTCACATTCTCCTGAGGATCTAAGCCACTACATGTAAATAAGAGAACTTTGGGCACATTGAAAACCCACTACTGGAACTAAGGACATGTTAGTACAATTCCCATGATGACAAGGATCATCACAGAATATAGGATCCTTATGAGCCTGTGGTCTAGAGTTCTCAAATGGTGCTGATTACTATTCCCAATCTGCTACTAACATTTAGGAGTCCAAAATAATGAGAGGGAGGAGGAAGAGCAATGGTACAACGAAAGTGTGAGCAATTTTAAAATAAGCAGTACCTGCAGCTTGAGGAATTGCAAAAGCAGGAGGGAAGCCAGCTCCTGTATAAGGAGAGGCTGAAATGATCCCCGGAGCACCTACAAAATAGAAAAGACTGGTTAGTTCATTAGACGTGACAAACTATTTCTCTCCCTCTCCGTTTCTCTCTCTCTCTCTCCGTTTCTCTCTCCGTTTCTCTCTCTCTCTCTCTCTCTCTCTCTCTCTCACACACACACACACACACTCCCTATTTTAAAAGGAACACAAGTCTCACTCCCCTTAACTAACATCCTAGGAGCCGTGGTGGTTAGAATGCAGTATTGCAGGCTAATTCAGCTCACTGTCGGGATTTTGATCCTCACCAGCTCAGGGTTGACTCAGCCTTCCATCCTTCTGAGGTTGCTAAAAGGAGGGCGTAGATTGGACCCCCACATTGGGGGCAATGTGCTGACTGCAAAACTGCTTAGAGAGGACTATAAAGTGCCATGAAACGGTATATAAGTCTATTGCTATCCTCACCTGGATCAGTATTTCAGACTTGTCCCTTCACAGGAAGGTGTAGGAAGATAAAAGTTTAACAAACTGTTATTGCCATCAGGACAACTGCTTTTCAATATTTGTTAATTGACAGGGTAGTTACTTCTCTGCGTTGCATTTACAAATTTCCTCAGAGCCAACTGAACTAATTTAACTGTTTTTATTGTTAAAACTGTTCATAGTTTCCTTTTGGATTGGATATTCTGATAATAGTTGATATAAACTATAAATAAAGCTTAATTACTCTCTTCTTCACAAGTATTTGTAAAACTAGAAATGCTAGAGTTTCTGTGGGGAATGCCTGGAAAGCTGTATTATAAACAGGTACATTTGACAAGTAAATTTGCTTCACGAGGTAAGAATATAATGTAATGGAGAGAAAATCAGAAATCTCTGTATTCTTTTTAGAGCAAAATAGAATGCTAGAACAACTTTTGACATTTTAAATCTAAAGAGTAAATTTCCATGACACAGAGTTCACTCTGCCAATTATTTTCCAGTAAAGGCTTTGGCCCGCTAATTTTACCTTAAATGTGCCACATGATTTTTTACTCTTCATAAACAGTTGTCTCACAGGAAATGAAAGAAATTCCCCAAAGTCTTTTCTTTCCTGATCAATAGAGCCTCAGGTGCCTCTAGAACATCACTCAACACATGGCTCTAAGAGACCTTGATGTATCTTTTACATCAAGGAATCTTATATACGTGAAGGAGGAAGACATATGAAATGTTAACTGTACTGGGAGTCTATTTATGAATGATAATATAACCTAAACATTTTATTTCATGTGTTGTTTGCTGTTCTTCTAGAACTATTTGTCGGATTTGGATATTAATATTTTCACCTACAGCCACAACTGTAGGAATTTTAGTTGGTAAGTAATGGTCGTTAAGCGAGTTATTGAGTGACTAGACCCCCAATTTTATGACTCCTTTATACAGGGGTCATCATGGTCACTAAGCAAATTTGACTTCCCAATTAATCTTGCCTGTTGAAGCTGGTTGAGAAGATCATAAATTGCAATCATCACTTTTTAAGATGCTGCAACTATTAAAAATGCAAGCTAGTTTCAAAACACCCAAACACATGGTCACTGGGGGCTGTAATGGTTGTAATTTACTTTTTCTGAGGCTACTGAAACTTTGAACTGTTGGTAAACGAACAGTCGTAAGTTGCAGACTATATGTACCTAGTAGTTTGGAATAACATAATGCCATAGGCTAGCAGAACATGGAAAGAAAGCTTGTAGCTACATTAGCATTTTGTGTTTGTTGTGGTTTCTGCCCTTAAGAACATGGTATAAAGTAGGCTGAACTGATGGTTAGGCGGAAGGAAAGATTGAAGTCAAAAGTGGGCTGCCTAATTTGCCAGTTAATTATTGATAAGAAGAAATAAGGATTATCCCAGATTTCCCAGAAGATTTCCTATCTTCTCGCTCAATCCTTTACCAAAAGCAGCTGCCATGGTCTGATCAAGGGAAGGTTGGTTGTCTCCAGAAGGCAGGTCTGGCCTGGTGTAGTCTCTGCTCTTATCGTTGTTGTATTTTACATTGAGGCTTGTGAGCTTGGAAAAGTCAATGCGAAGGGTGCAGCAAGCATTGTAGATGTTCTGCCCATCAAGTGACTATAGAAAATCAAACCAGAGTAATCTAAGTCAAGCAAGTTACTTCAGGAAAAAAGATTCTACATACTCTACATCCATCCAATGTGTAAAACTGAGAAATAATCTTAAGGGAGTAAGTCTTAAAAGAATGCCCATACAATTGTTTGCAAGGACTTGGAGGTTATGTTTAGATCAGGCTTGTCCAACCCGCGGCCCACGGGCCGCATGCGGCCCAGGTCACCTCGTAATGCGGCCCAATGCCCACCCCAACCATCGTGCCACAGCCAGCGAGAAGGAGGAAGAGAGGCAGGCACGAGGCGGGGCGAGGCGAGCGCCAGGCCAAGCAGCAAGAGAAAAGGTGAGCGCCGTCAGAACGCCACCTCCTGCTGCTTCTGTCCCCGCCGCCGCTGCCCCCGCGGTGGGGGAAGAAGCGGCGGCGGGGATGGTGGCGGGGGCAGAAATGGCGGCGGCAGAAGCAGCAGCGGGGGCAGGGAAAGAAGCGCCGGCGGCGGCAGAAGCGGCGGCGGCAGCGGGGATGGTGGCGGTGGCAGAAATGGCGGCGGCAGAAGCAGCAGCGGGGGCAGGGAAAGAAGCGCCGGCGGCGGCAGAAGCGGCGGCGGCAGCGGGGATGGTGGCGGTGGCAGAAATGGCGGCGGCAGAAGCAGCAGCGGGGGCAGGGAAAGAAG